AACCACGATTCAAATAATATCGAATGATTTGCTCCTTTTCTAGCAGTTCCCAGCCAATTATGTCAACGCAGCTTATAAACATTTACGAATGGAGTCTCACAAGCAACACAACTCTTCTTGCTTGAAAAAAATATATATATAAATGCGTTATATTACATGCAATACTGTTATAGTTACAGTTGTGCAATTACTTATGTATGTAATCACTCAGTATTGCACATAACTGGGAAACTTAGGTATATGGAAACAAAGCAATTCACCCAGGGTGTCTGGGGACAACAAAGCATGTAACGTCCAGAAGGCCCAATTCCCAAAAGCCTTTGCTCGAAGCCTGCTAGACTCCACTTTCTGCCCAGAACCCCAGCCAAAACTTCAGGACCTCCCAACTCTAATAATCAAATTGCTTTATTTATTTAAAACAGGGAGCCTGGATGACACCAGGGGAGCAACAATAACTACTAAGGAATAGATGAGACTTCTACCAGTGAAGCCCAATCGGGCCCAGAGCTTCTCTGGGTGCCAGCCCAGAGCTGCTAGATGCTATTTACATCCTCCCTTGCAACCATAAAGTCTTTCTAAAGGCAGACGGGCTTCTTTGGATAGATGTGATATCTTTTATTAGACCAATAAATAGTTGGGGGAAAAAAAATTGTTCTTGGCCAGCTTTCAGGTACAAACAGCCTTCTTCAGGTGCAGAGAGGGTCTGCCGGTGTTTGTGCTCTCCTGTGCAGAACAGAAATGCAAAATGCCAATATGCAAAATGCAATTTAGAGGCCTGTGCTGCGGTATGTGCCAGCAAGCCAATGTCTATATTTAGCCCACGCTGCTTTTTAAGGCCCTCTGAAGCTTCCTGCACTTCTGGCCTGGCTCTGTTTCTGTTGCAGACAAGTTTAATACTTGCATTCACCAGGAAGCAAGCCCTGCACAGGTCTCTAAAATTGCACCCGCAATTTGGAAAGGGGAGAGGAGACCAGAAATGCAACACAGAGGCCTGTAATGACCTTCAACTCTCATGCTTTCCCCCTCCCCAGCCCAAGCTACAATTCACCTATCACCCCAAACCAGGGCAACTCACAGATCCTGCCGAGAGAGGCACCCAGGTCCTTGCAGCCCGACCCTCTGCACAGGCAGCCTTTGTTCCCCCTCCTCCACCATGTGCTTCCCTCTTAAAGAGACACGCACACACGGCATCAAATCACCTGCTACTATTTGCTCCAGCTTGCAAGAAGCCCTGCTCAGGACTCCTAGAAAAGTATCACCGAGTGCTTTAAAGGCCAGAATTGGGAGTCTGGACTCCTGGGTTTGTTGCTCAGCCTTGCAGCACATCCCCTGTGTGCCCCTGAGCAGATAAATCACTTCCAAGGAGCCTACTCCTAATCATGCAGAAATAATATTTTAAAAATTGTACAGGATTTTTATAGAGAATCCAGGCATCCTATACATGATTCTCTATTAAGGGTATTGCACAGGTATTGTATGTGGCTTGATACAGGCCTGGTTTCTAAACACGTGGCTCACATCTGCTTCCCTCCGGCACTCTGAGCTCAACAGGAATATCAAGTGCAGGGGGGGGTGCAAAACACAACTGAATTGCTTGATCACAAGGATCTCCCTGCATTTTTCCCTTACCTAAAACCTTGTCCAATGCCCTTCAAGCCTCTGCTTCCTGTAGTTCACTTTGGTTTAGCACAGAGCTATAACATGAGTGGATGGCAAAGATTAAACCTAGATTGGCAAAGGATTCAAATCAAAGAGGGTAGCACACTACTTACCATGCAGCTAGGCCAGGAAGAGGAAGAAGAAAGGAGAGGGCTGGAGGAAGAGAGGTGGAACAAAGAACAGAGCTCGCGCTGTGATTGGTGAGAAGCACAAGCATGTTGCACTTCCTGGATCAGTCATCTGGTCATTTAATTATTTTCATGAATTTGTGGCCAGAAGCTTCTACAGATTGGGCTTGGGAAAAGTTTGGGAGGCAGAAATCAGTGGAAATCCTTTCAAAAAAAATTCAGAATCTGGACCAGGGGATTCAACATAGAGTCAATATCTTCTGTGTTGCAGGGTTTGGGGTTGTAGTCGTGTTGGTCTAAGGACATAGGCAGGCAAGCGTCTTTGGGTAGATGTGCTTTTATTAGACCAACGGAGTAGTTAGAAAAAAGGTTCTTTGCAAGCGTTCAGGCACAAGTGCCCTTCTTCCCTATGCCTGAAGAAGCGTGCTTGTGCCAGAAAGCTTGCAAAGCTTGGTCCGCTGATCTAATAAAAGATAGCACATCTACCCAAAGAAGCTGCCAGCCTAGAGTCAAGCCTTGGGCCTTGGGTATTCAGAAAAAAAAAACTGTGTCCAGTAACCTTGATGCAAGATCTTAAGTAAATGAGGAGGATATTCAAAATGAGCAAACTTGCTCAACATTTCTGAAAATCAGCCCACTTACTTAGGAGGCTAAATCAGGTTTAATGCTGACCCTAGAGCTCACAGGGATGGGGTACTGTGGTCCCAAAAAACTTGTCTAAGTCTATCCTGACCATGAAGTTTATACAATGAAAGATATCCCCTACAAAAATCCTTGCCTCTTGCATATTTCCTGGACCATCATGGCTACATCACTTCAACCCTAACAAGAAAAATATTTCATGTTTATATAGCCCTTGGGATTTTGCTTATCCTGAAATCCCAAGACTGAAAGGTACTTGCATAATAGGAACATATTTTAAAGGTCATTTAAGGATATAGACAGCGGGCTAGTGGGCTATTCAAAAGTACGCAGGAACCGGACTCCCACAGGAATTAGAGACCACATTTCTTTGGATGCCTTTGAAAAGCCTAGCACATATCCAGATTCAGAGTGAACAAAAGCAGCAGGAGAGATCTTCAATAGGGATCATTCATAATACATGGGAAATACTGACAGAAATCAACAGAGGAACATAATAGAAATGGTTTTATATAGTGTTTGTGGCCAAACTGTGCTTTTAATTCACGGTTTTAAGCTCATTTAAGTTCAGTGGACTTGCTTCACATTTAAATTGGTGTGTTCAGCATCATAGAGGCATTGTGCCAGGGGGATGAGGGCAGTGATTCTCAACCAGGGTGCCACATCACCCTGAGGTGCCTTGAGATCCTTCCAAGAGTGTCATAGGGTGCCATGCAATTTTAGCACAGTTAAGTTTCATAGTAGTTAGGGGTCAGAGGGGACCTGAACAAATCATCTAGTCTGACCCACCCCCACCACTGGCCGGAGCACATGCTGGGATCACATGACCCCAGACAGGTGTTCATCCAACCTTTTTTTGAATTTACCCAAGGTAGGAGTGAGGACCACTTCCCCTAGGAAGTTGGTTCCAGATCCTAACTACCCTGACAGTGAAATAGTACCTCTTAATCTCTAACCTGAACCTATTCTCTAGCAGCTTCTGGCCATTGTTCCTCGTCACCCCAGGTGGTGCTGGGGAGAATAGAGCTCTTCCTATTTGCTGTTGATCTCCCCTAACGAGTTTGTAGACAGCTACCAGGTCCCCCCTCAGCCTCCTCTTGCTGAGGCTGAACAGTTTCAGGTCCTTCAGTCTCTCCCTGTAGGGCCTGTCCTGCTGCCCTCCAACCAAGCGGCTGGCCCTCCTCTGAACCCTCTCAAGGCAGGCCACATCCTTCTTAAAGTGCGGTACCCAGAACTGGACTCAGTACTCCAGTTGAGGCTGGACCAATGTCGCGTATAGGGGGAGTATCACCCCTCCGGATGAAATGCATCTTTGGATGCACAACAGGGTATGGCTGGCCTTGCTGGCTGCAGTGTGGCATTGGTGGCTCATGTTCATCTTGGAGTCAATGATGACTTCAAGATCCCTTTCCGCCTCTGTGCTCACAAGGGGAAAGCTCCCCAGCTTGTACGTATGCTGTGGATTCCTTCTCCCCAGGTGTAGCACCCTGCATTTGTCTACATTGAACCCCATCCTATTACCATCTGCCCACCTCTGTAGTCTGTCCAAGTCTAATTGCAGCCTCTCTCTCCCTTCGAGCGCGCCTACCTCTCCCCACATCTTAGTGTCACCGGCAAACTTGGACAACGTGTTTTCCACCCCCTCGTCCAAGTCGCTGATGAAGATGTTGAACAGTGTAGGCCCCAGCACCGAGCCCTGGGGGACCCCACTATTCACATCCCGCCAGGATGTGACCAAACATAATTCACAAGGTGTACCCAGAGGTTTCAAATAGGATTCCAAGTGTTAAAAACTAAGAAATGGCACTTTCCAAGGACTGCCTTGACTATAAAAAGGATTAAATTGCCATGACACAGATCCAGAGATGACTTCAAGCTCTGCTCTTGCCTCAGATTGCCCCCAGGCACCCCAGCGGTACGCAAGTACCTGATCATTCAGGGTGGGGAAATCAAAGGTGATGTACTCCATCTCACTCCCTTGTACGTGGTTAGCTATGGAAAGTCAATGCTGGACCCTCAAAATCTCAGGTACCTCTACAGATCCAGAGGATCGAGTTACAGCCTAATTCCAGACGTGTGCCAAAGACTGTCTTCCCAGTCAGCCCAGCTTCAAATGGGGACCTGGTCACTTGAGTAGGGGAGAAAAAGGCTATTTATGAACTACCTCATTTCTGATGACAACTACCTATTTCTCCGTGTGCCACTGGCAAGAGAAACTGTGGTGCCTTAACCATGCTAGCCTGATGGTCATCCAGGTCCAGATAGATGTTTGACCTTTTTATATTCCTTCCCACCTGTAGATCAAAAATTGACATTACTGTCCCCATCTTACACACTGAGAAACTGTAGTACAGAAAGAGGTCATTGGGATCCTCCCTTTTCTGACTACTTGGGACAGTATCTGTATCTGTATTTGTATTTAAGGCGTATCGCTCTGCACTCCTTAAATCTTTGGCAGGCTTTACCCCAGAAAAAAATGTGAATAGTCTCTAGGCTACAGATCTGTTACAGCCAATAAGCCCATAACAATAATGGTATTGTTTTTTAACTTCCCTTTGGTATTTTCCATCCAAAGATCTTGATACATTTCACAACTGTTAATAAAGTAAGCCTTTGGCATGTAAGTAAGGTATTGTTATCTCTAATTTACAGGTGGACACTGAGAGAGACAGAACTTAAATTACCTTAAAAAAAAAAACCTGACTGGATAATGCAGTTTCTTGTGCACAAGCATTGAAAACATGAGCCACATGACCAGTTAGAAATGAGGACTCTTTATATATTAGAAAGGACTATGAACTCATGATTACAACAGGGAGGTGACAGGGAGTCAGGTTCTTTTCCCAGTTCAAGGAGGAAAATGGGATCTTGAGGCCTATATATCCCCCAGTTTACACACCCCCACTGCATCTGCTAGAACTTGTTAGCAAAACAACATTTTTAATGGGGAAAAAAGTATGAAAATAGATTTCTGTCTTCATCTCTTTCTCCCCAAATGTTGAGGGTTTTAACAAACCATCAAAAATGTGTTTGCTGAAAACTAAACATATTCCACTTTGTGCATAGATTTTTGTTCAGTTTTCATTGCTTAAGAAAGTCCCCCAAAACATAGAATAGCAACTCTAGGGCTTCCCACCGATGCTCTTGCACCCCCAAGACTTCTTCAAACAGATTTCTTTGTATACACAAAACATCATTTTTTCTAAATATTTATTAAAAGTTCAGCCTCTGTTTTCCAAGAACCAAAGCAAAGGGTCCCACAGCTCTGATGCTCTCTCAGAGACAAAAGTTTACTTCCCAACCAGCCAAGAAGCTTATAGATGTGCCTTTACACATCAGCACCCACTATGTAACGCTGTGAAGAGGCAGTGATGATGAAAAGACGATAATGAGACTGGAATTCTGCATCCGGTTCTGATATGTCTGTTTTCAGGCAACACCAAATTATTTTCAGGCTTGAGGCAATACCTTACAGAGTATTATATTACATTAATGCTCACTCCATTTCTCCCATTCCAAAGAAGACTCAGAGGTCACCCGATTACAGTACGTAAGAGAAAATACCAAGATGACCATGGAGCAGACAAAAGCAGAAAAGGAACTGACAGCCAAAAGTTTAAATTGGACAGATTCAAAATGAAGAAATTCAAAATTCAATTCAGATTCAAAATGAGGCACAATTTTTTCCCCCCAGGGAGAGTGTTTAACTACTATAGAAACAATCTCCTAAC